GGAAAACTTTAATCTCCGGAAAGGGATTAAGAAAGAAGAACCTTTGAAAGGAAGAAAAATATTTTCATTTTTGAATTGACATTTTTGTGGAATCTTTCAGTGTCTTTAGTTAAAATGAAGAAAAGCTTTAATTTCTAAGTCATTAGAACAGAAAAATGTGGTGACAGTGGCCCATTTTAAAATGAGAAATGGGGACAAAAATGAAAGGGGCTTCCCCACTCCCTCTTTTAAAGGCTTAATTTGTCCAGGCTTTGGTCTTTGGGGAATTTATTGTACTTGGATCTTGTCCCTACTGTATTTCCACTTTTCACAACAGAGAGAACAATTTTTTTTTCTCAAAACTACCCCTTTCCTGTCTCCCACAACTGCTGTTGTGGCAGCCTCAGAAGTGTGGAAGCAGACATTTCATTGCATATGAGTGTTTAGGATTCAGCAACCCTCAGGGAGAGGATCCTTTGGGCAGAGAACACTTGTTCCCATAGCATAGCAGTTTGGTAGCTGTCGTAGTGTGCTGGAAGTGTGGGGTAGGGGGTTATGATCCTAATCTCACTAGTGGGGCAGTTCTATCAAAGGTCAAACTGGGACACGGCGTCACTTGACAGTGAAATCCTCTGTTCTGTCGGGTGGCTTCACTCCTGCGGACTGTGCTCCAGAACTGCTCGGAGTTCAAAAGAAATGCAGCTATAAGGCTAAGGGGGAAGCAGAGGAGCAACAAAGCTACAATGATGAGTTGAACTGGGTCTCGGAGGATCACACGCCAGATCTGAAAAGGGATTGAGCCAGCCATTCTAGGGCAAAGTAATAGAAGGTTCCCTTGCCAGTAATTTTCTATGTGAAGAAAAGTCAGGTGTTGAGAGAGATCAAGCCAAGTTTATAAAGTATTTCCAAGAAAAGGGCATAATTTTGAAATGGTATTGGAAGTCTGCATACATCTCTTTAAATACAGCAAGAGGCTTGGAAGTGGCTTGGTACACGCATTGGAGAAAACCACGTACTCTTCTCTCCTGTCATATTCCTAGCAATCTTGTGATTGCTGTCAGTGCCTGCCAAGTCTTCTCTCACCGTATTTCTCCTTTCATCTGCTTTTCTTTTACTTGCTGTCTTTTTTTGCTTAGCAGTTTCATGGAAATGACCCCTTGCGCTCTCCATGGTGCTACACTGAGCCGTAACCACTTGGTAACAAGCAAGAAGAGGTGAGCAAAGCAGCTGCTGAGAGAGGAGCTGGTATCAGAGGGACCTTGCCAAGGGGCAATGGATCCTTAGCCCAGAGAGATGCTGCATATTGGATGTGAGGGGGACGCACTGAGAAGCCCCTGGCATGGAAAAACGCTCCCCTTTCTCTTCATCTCTGGGTGTGTCATCTCTTCCAAGCAGGCAGATGTTTTTGGTTTCCTGTACTAGCACAGTGTCAGGAGGTGATTACCATGCTCCAGCAGCCTCCTGAATCTTGTGTACCAGTGTCCCTGTGCTTGAAAATGGTGGCAGAGGTGCTTTGAACTAAAGCTCATTGAATAAGCTTTCATTCAAGTGTCCCTGCCACCATTTTTAAGCACAGGGATCCTGATACATGAGGCATGGTGGTGCTTTAATTAGAGCAGCTCTCAGAGCCACTCTAAAATGCTTTCCCCCCTCCCCTTCCCCCCCCCACTCTGGAGCATGTGTAAAAATACTTAATAAGCCCAGATCCCTCTGCCTCTCCTGACAAGTTAC